ACCCTCCAAAATATTAGCAAATCAAATCCAACAATGTATACAAATAATTATATACCATGACCAAGTGGGACTTATCCCAGGTATGCAAGGCTGGTTCAACATTCAAACATCAGTTAATGTAAGCCATCAAATCAATAGTCTAAAGAAGAAAAAAGATCACATGATCATATCAAGAGATATAGAAAAAACATTTAATAAAATCGAACACCCATTCATGATTAAGAACTCTTGGTAAACTAGGAGTAAAGGAACTTCCTCAAATCAAAAATGTCTACAAAAAAACTACTGTTAATATCATGTTTAATGATGTGAAACTAAAAATTATTCCACTAAAATCATGTATAAGACAAGGATGCCTCCCCTATCAGTCCTGGCTAATGCAATAAGACAGAAAAAAAAAAGGCATACAAATTGGGGAGAAAGAACTAAAACTGCTTTTGTTCACAGAAGATATTATCATCTATGTAGACTATCCAAAGGATCGATAAAGAAACTTTTGTAACTAATAAACAATTATAGCAAGGTTGCAGGATACAAGATTAATATACAAAAGTCAACCACTCCTATATACCAGCAATGAACAGGTGGACTTTGAAATTAAAAATAATACCATTTATATTGGCATCCCCCTAAATGAAAGAGTTAGGTATAAATCTAACAAAATATGTTCAACATCTACATGAGGAAAACTATAAAACTCTGGTGAATGAAATCAAAGAAGAACTGAATTAATAGAGAGATAATCTGTATTCATGGATGGGAAGACTCAATACTGCCAAGTTATCAGTTCTTCCCAACCTGATCTTCCCAACCTGATAGATTCAATGCAATTCCAATTAAAATGACATTATTTGTGGACATCAAGTAAATGATTCTAAAATTTATATGGAGAAGCAAACGACCCAGAATAGCCAATTCAATATTGAAGAACAAAGTTGGAGGACACCCCAACTTCAAAACTTACTGTAACACTATAATAATCAAGACAGTGTAGTATTGAAAAACAATAAACAATAGATCAGTGGAAAGAATAGATCCCCCAAATAGACCTACATAAATTTAGTCAATTGATCTCTGACAAGGAAGCAAAGGCAAAACAATGGAGCAAAGATCATCCTTTCAACAACTGGTGCTGGAAGAGCTGGACATCCACATGCAAAAACAAAAACCCGAAAAACAATTTAGACACAGACCTTACACTCATCACAAAAAGTAACTCAAAATGGATCACAGACCTAAATGTAAAGGCAAAATCATAAATCTACTAAGAGATAACATAGGAGAAAATCTAGATGACCTTGGATATAGTGATAACTTTTTAGATAAAACAAAAAAGGCACAATCCATAAAGGAAAGACTTGATAAGCTGGACTTCATTAAAGCTAAATTTTATGTTTGTGAAGATAATGTTGAGAGAATGAGAAGATAAGCCCCAGAGACTGGGAAAAAATATTTGCAAAAGACACATCTGATAAAGGACTGTTGTCTAAAACACACAAAGAACTCTTAAAACTCAACATTAAGTAAATAACCCAATTAAAAAATGGGCAAAAGACCTTAACAGACACCTCACCAAAGAAGATATACAGATGCTAAGTAAGCATATTAAAAGATGCTCTACATCATATGTCATCAGGGAATTGCAAATTAAAATAATAATAATAAAATACAGCTACATACTTATTAGAATGACTAAAAAATGGAACACTGACAATGCCAAATGCTGATGAGGATGTGGAACAACAGGAATTCTCATTCATTACTGGTGGAATGGGAAATGGTGCAGCCACTTTGAAAGACAGTTTGGTGGTCTCTTACAAAACTAAACATACTCTTACCATATGATCCAGCAATTGGGCTCCTTAGTATTTACCCAAAGGAGTTGAAAATGTATGTCCACACCAAAACCTGCACATGGTTGTTTATAGCAGCTTTATTCATGATTGCTAAAACTTGGAAGTAACCAAAATGTTCTTCAGTAGGTGAATGGATAAATAAATTGATACATCCAGACAATGGCATGTTATTCAGTGCTAAAAAGGAATGAGCTATCAAGCCATAAAAAGACTTGGAGGAAACACAAATGCATACTAGTAACTGAAGGAAGCCAATTTGGAAATACTGTATGATTCCAACTATATGACTTTCTGGAAAAGGCAAAACTATGGAGACAGTAAAAGACCAGTGGTTGCCAGCATTTGGGGTTGGGGGAAGGGATACATAGGTGGAGCACAGAGGATGTTTAGTGCAAAATACTCTGTATGATGCTATAATGATAGATACATGTCATTATACATTTGTCCACACCCATAGAATGTTAACACCAAGAGTGAAATGTAATGTAAACTATTGACCTTGGCTGATAAATGATGTGTCAGATAGATTTCATCAATTGTAACAGATGTACCACTGTGGTGGGGATGTTGATATTGGGGGAAGCTGTGTGTGTGTGTGTGTGTGTGTGTGTGTGTGTGTGTGTGTAGTAAGGGTTATATGGGAAATCTCTGTACTTTATCTTCAGTTTTGCTATAAATCTTTAAGTGCTCTATGAAAATAAAGTCAATAATAATAATAATAATAAATGAATAAACTATAAAGTAAAAAAAAAGTTACCTGTAGTGAGGGAACAAATGAGAGGGGAGACTTTTTAGAATATACCTCTTTTTACAGATTTGGTGTTGGAACCAGGTAAATATTTTACATAATTATAAAATAATATTAAAGTTTTAAAAGCAATCTCCCCCAAAAAAACACAAAGAAGAAGTACAATGAATTAAATAAACCTGTGTATCCCATGGGTGACAAAACAACCAAAGAGTAAGTGTTCCAAGTGACTTTAAAACTGTAATTTGATTGAACATCCCTAGTGGGACCTCCTCTAAGGACAGAAAGGACTGTAAACAAGTGTTAAACTGTTTTCAGTAATTATATTGTTGGCTGCAGTGATGTAATTGTGATCCTGAGACTGTTGTGTGTATTTATAGGATGAATTGAGTGAATATTTATGTTGGTGTCATTGAGAACTAAGATTTTTCAGTGCAGTTGAAGGGAGATACAGATATAAGATCAGTGAGGTTAAGTAAAAAAACAAACAAAAAATCTGCAAACCTGAATTGAATAGAAGGTATCAGTATAAACTCATGATGAATTTTATCTTAAAATTTTCTTTTTCCAGTTCTGCCCACTGAACAGGCCTGGAAACAATGATTAACCCAATAGCCATGAGCACCAACAGTACCCAGATCGTGGTTCTAAAAATAATTTGTTGGGCCGGCCGAGTGGCTCAGTTGGTTAAGAGCTCGCTCAAGAGTTTGAGCTCTGAGCAACAGCGGTTCGAGTCCAGCCCGAGCTGAGCAGCCGCTGAGCTGCCAACAGGTTGCAGGATGGCTCAGCTAAAAAATAAAAATAAAAAAAATAAAATAAATAAAAATAATTTGTCATTGAAAAGAACCAGAGCTTTTTGGGAGAAATGGCTGATTCCAGGTGTGGAATGTAAACTGTGCAATATGAACCTGAAATAGTTTTTTATATTAGAAATCAAAGGAACTTCAAAAATCACTAAATTCATGTAAAAAATGTATAAATAAAGGGAAAGAATCAAGCATTTGTCATTCCATTCTTATGTAATGTGTACCTCAGGCCAACCAAATAATCCATTAAGGGAAGTTGCTGTTTATAGAAGTATACTAGCTAATAAACAGAGAAGGAATGATGGAATTAGGATATTACTATTGAGCAATAACTGATCAGTTTATGAATCTAGGAAATGGTTATCAGTGACTGATAACATTTCCAATTGACAGACAATTATATAGTATGTATTCCCTGATAGAAGTACCCAGTACCACACATGAAGTCGTATTACAAAAAAAAAACCAACTTTGAATTTGATCAAGTATGTAGATCTCGTTACTGATTTATAGGAAATAGAGGAAAAGAGAAAGAAACATGATAAATGATACCATAGGCATGCAATCAGTAAAATCTAGACAAGGGAAACTATTATAGGATAAATGACTCTTGCAACAGAAAAAACGCAAAAAAATACCTTGAGAAACATATCAACTAATTGTAATGTGTGAATTATTTGGGTACTGATTCAAACAAATTTGAAACAATTAAAAAATTGGGGAGGGCCGGTCAAGTGGCGCGTTGGTTTAGAGGTGTCTTGGGACGCCAGCTCTTAGCAGCAGGGCCCGGGTTTGGATCCCACATAGAGGGCCGTGAGTCACCGGCGCCGGCGTAGGCTGCAATGGGGCTGGCTGGCAGCTGGTGTGCCCTTTCAGTGAGCTGCCATGAGCCGCCAAGAGCGGCTGTCCAATGGCCGGGGAGCTACTGCCTCACCTGGGAAGAGCGTAATGATAACACCAACATGGGCCAGTGAAGCGACGTCCTCCACAACTAGACTGAAGAACAAAAGGACAGCAACTTCTCTGTTCCCCTCCCCCAATTCCCCAATAAAATCTAAAAAAAAAAACAATTGGGAAAATGAAAACATTAATTTGATGATATTAGGGAATTATGGTGATGATTTTAAGGTGTGACAATTATACTGATGGCATTTTGAAAGAAATACTTATCTTTTAAAGGTTCATGTTAAAATACTTATTTTAGAAGTAAAAACAAAGATGGGGTTAGGTATTTCTAGCTCTAGGTCAAAGGGTCATTTTCCGAATTCTAAAATATCTTTTAAGCAATATTTTCCTCAGTTAGTGTTGAATGACCTATTATCATTATTAGGTATCATTATGTGTGTGTGTTAAGTCTAATTGCATTATAAAAGACCTTGTATTCCAAGGAAAAGTTTGTTTCCAACTCATCTTGGAACAAGCATGTTAGCCAGAGGATATCCGCACAATACAGATCTTACAAGCCTGAGAAAAATTTATAATAAACATTATGTGTAGAATCCTCACTTCCTCAAAACCCAGAATTTTCCTTATAATAATGATACTTCAAAGTGGTTGGGAAAGCATTTTCATTTCCCTGATTGGAGTTACCTGTTTCCCATTTGCATGTAAGCTTCCTTTCCTGCATATTTTCATTGGCCCGATAAGCCCGGTGAATATATCTTTGGTAGGATCCACAGCAGAGTAATACATCTTAGATAGACAGACAGGGTCTTTGTAAGTGGGTCCCACTTCTTTGGGGACAGTCCATTCATAGGTGAATGTTTCTTTGGGTCCCACATGGGAGGCTGAAGAAGGAGGCACACCTGGGAGAAAGGTCACAAGGGTGAGGTTAGGTGTAAGCTTTAAGGTGCTGATTTGAGCCACAGAGTAGACTGGGTTTAGTCTAGGAGTCTGCTTCTGAGCTCCTTATTGTGAATTAGAATGGAACTCCACTTGAATAGAATCCTACTTGTGCTCCTGTGTCAGGTTACTGATGGGTGTGATTTCTTTTTTTAATTAAGATTTTACATTGGGGAACTGGAGGAGGGGAACAGCACTGGGGAATCCGGGAAGGGGAACAGACAAGTTGCTGTCCTTTTGTTCTTCAGTCTAGTTGTGGAGGACATTGCTTCACCGGCCCATGTTGGCTTTATCATTGTGCTCTTCCTGGGTGAGTCAGTGGCTTGCCGGCCATTGGACGGCTGCTCATGGCTGCTCACGGCAGCCCACGCCGGCTGCCAGCCACTCACGCTGGCTGCCAACTACTCACGGTAGCTTATGGCAGCCCACTGCAGCAGAGGCTGCAGCCTATGCCATCACTGGCGACTCATGGCAGCCCAGTTCCAGGTCGAGCCGTTGTTCACCATACTAGCTATAGAGGGCACAGCGTCACTGGCCCTCATATGGGATCTGAACCTGGGCCCTGCTGCTCAGAGCTGGCATCCCAAGACTACTCTTAACTAACATGCCACTCAGCCAGCCCTGGGTGTGATTTCTAAACTTCTGTCTGAGACTGGTGCCTGCTACAATCTGAATGTTTGTGTCCCTCCACCCCTAAATTCACATAATTGGAATCCTAGTGCCTGATGTGATGGTGTTTGGAGGTGGGGCCTTTGGGAGTTGATTAGGTCATGAGAGTGGAGCCCTCCTGAATGGGTTAGTACCCTTATAAAGACCCCCACAGAGCTCCCTACCCCCGTTCACCATGTGAAACAATAAAAAGTCTGAGAGCCAGAGGAGAGCCCTCACCCAGACATGCTGACACCTTGATCTTGGACTTCCAACTTCCAGAACTGTGAGAAATAAACTTCTGTTGTTTATAAGCCCCCCAGTCTGTAGTATTTAGTTATAGCTGCCTGAACAGACTAAGACAGAGCCCCTCTTTGTGCTCCCACAGCCCCTGAGAATTCCCCCAGCACCTTTCATGTTATATTGTGTGTACCCTTCCTCCAAATGGAACTTAAATTTTTGGAAGGCAAGCATTGACTGTATTTCCATCAGCTAGAACAACACCTAGAAATAGGAGGCAACCAACGAGTTTTCTATTAAACAAAACTGAAATGAAAATAATTTTGAAACTGAAAGGAAGCTAGCAGAGATGATCCTGTTCAAATCTCCCAATTTTATACTTCAGGAAGCTAAGTCCAGAAAGACTGAATAACTTGCCCAGGGTCACACTACAAGTGGTGACAAAGCCACTAGTCTTCATTGGTCAGCCTTGACATATAAAAATGCCTAAATACATCTACATAATGGAATATTTTGTATTATTAAAATTATACTTATAAAATATTTATAATGCTAAGAAAACACACTAGGTTCAAAATTAGAATAAGTTTATTTACATACTATGACCTCAACCACATTTAAAATATACATTATATGTACCCAGATGAAAGAGTGGATGAATTACATATAAATATAATAGTGGTTGTCTATAGAACTATGGATAATAAGTTTGGCTCTACTTTTTTATACTTTCAAATATTCTAAAATGAGCACCTAATCTTCTTACAATTGCAAGAACATTTTTCCAATTTAAAAATTACCCCAATAGTACTCCAAAATGTATAACTGATATAATCCAAATAAGTTACTGCTAGCATTGTCAATAGTCATCCAATGGAGGCAGCTCAGCATTCCATAAATCAATTGGAAAGGGTAGGAGAAGAGGTTTACTTGCTTCCTAGCATGATGCCTGAGAATGGTATATGAGCAGTTTCCTCAGAAGTTCCTGCTTTCAGTTTTTGCAGGACCATTTTCCTGAGGTAGGTAGCACAGTGGGTTATTAAACATTGGTGATTTGTTACCAAGTGCTGTACTCACCTTTACTCTGGGGGTTGGAAGCGTAGTATGTACCCTCGTTGCTCTTACTGACTCTCACCCCAACTGGCTCAATACTGAGGGGATACTCTCCTTTGTTATAGAAAGTGACTCTGATCGTGTCTCCCACCTCTGCCCAAATGACAGGACCTAGGGAAAAAGAGACTGTTATCCTCCCTTGGTATATAACATTCAGAATACATAAGACACTTGTTTTCTTTGGCTTGTCCTCTGACAAGAACCACTGTGAGCAACATGCTTATCTGTGACACATAGAAAGCTTGGTTTTTAAAAGCCCATCATCAATTTGACATGGTGAGGCTGGAAAGAGATGAGAAAGGCTCTCTGATCCAACTTCAGGTTAATGAAATTTGTTGTCATTTTTACCCAAGTCAGTTTACAAGCTTTATACATTTACAAATAAAACTATTCAGAGTGCCTATGCTCTCCTCATCCTGGGTTTGTATTGGCTAGCTGTGTCTTATTTATCCCAAGAGCCAGGGGGCTGCTATAAACCTTGACCACCCAAAAGAGGTACATTCAATTGTCTTGGCTATGAAGAGTGACACTGTGGTGGATTTTCCATCACCAAAATCAATATTGTCACCAAATATATAATAGAAACATAGATATGTAGTACATAAATATTTATGTAATACATACGATGATATCGATTGAGAATTTCCTATGTTCTCTTCCGAATGTTTATGTGAATTAACTCATTTAATCCTTACAACAACTGTACGAGGTAAGGGCTATTATTGTTACTACCATTCCCGTTTTATAGATGGCACAGAAAGTTGAGTACTTGCAAAGGTCACAAAGCTAACAGGTGAGGACGGACGGCAGTCTCTATCCACCCAGTCGCTCTTCTGCCTGAGCCAGAGGGGTTTCTGAGCCATGACTGAGGGCAGCCTGCAGGAGACTAAGACCAACCCAGCCAACTCCCAGTAGTTTATTTTCTTTCTTTCTTTTTTTTTTTCTTTAAAGATTTTATTGGGAGAATTGGGGGAGAGGAACAGTGTTGGGGATTGGGGAAGGGGAACAGACAAGTTGCTGTCCTTTTGTTCTTCAGTCTAGTTGTGTAGGACGTTGCTTCACTGGCCCATGTTGGTATTATCATTGCGCTCTTCCCGGGCAAGGCAGATCGGTCGCTGGCCTCTGGACGGCCGCCCACGGCAGCTGCCAGCTGCTCACACTGGCTGCCAGCCACACACGGTAGCTTATGGCAGCCCACTGCAGCCCCACTGCAGCCTATGCTGTCACCAGCGACTCACGGCAGCCCAGCTCCAGGTCGAGCTGTTGTTCACCATATTAGCTGTAGAGGGCAGTGTCACTGGCCCTCATGTGGGATCCAAACCGGGGCCCTGCTGCTCAGAGCTGGTGTTCCAAGCCAGCTCTTAACCAACGCGCCACTCGGCTGGCCCATGGAGTTTATTTCTAAGGCAATGTATCTTTAGCTAAGAGCAGAGGGTAACAACTTCTGTTGTCTATTTAAACAATGGAACAATGGCACATCAACACATCATTCCCCTTACTTTGAAGAGAAAAATATCATCATTCGAAGTTAGCGTGGTTTTTAATGATGAAGATTTACTGTTGGTAACTTACATTTGGGAAAGTAATTAGCAGCTGCATTTTACTAATGATTGATCTTTATGTCCCTAGTTTGTTCCTAGAAGTCATGCTGCAGATCCTGATGTTTCTGTTCTTTCTGAGGTTGGTGGAGCCCAGGGGAAGAGCACAGTGGTCATATATAATAGATTCTGCACAGACTCACCCAGGATGCCAAGATGTTCCTCTTCAGGGCCTCTCTCCTTTCGATTTGTGAAGGAGGCATCTGTGTACTCACGATAAACCAGCTTTTTATAAGAGCCTCCAATTCTCGTAGGACCATGTTCAAAAAATACCTCTGAATCACTACCAAAAGAAAAAGGGTTTAACGCTGGAGCTGAACGCCAAACAGAAAGCAGATATTCACGTAGGGTAGTAATTGAAGAGAAAAATTCTGACCGGTGCATAGAGATACTTATTACCCATGATTTACCAAATACTCAAACGGAAGTGCTAGCTTACTTCATGGAAAGGTGTTCAGTTTCTCAACCTGTGGGTCGTGACCCCTTTGGGGGTTGAATGACCCTTTCACAGGGGTCGCCTAAGACCATCGGAAAACGAAAAGATATTTACATTACGATTCATAACAGTAGCAAAATTACAGTTATAGAGTAGCAACGAAAATAATTTTATGGTTGGGGGTCACCACAACATGAGGAACTGTATTAAGGGGTCGCCGCATTAGGAAGGTTGAGAACCGCTGAGTTAAGGAATGGAGAATCACAGCATAGAAGATTCACTTTTTCGAGTGAAGTAAAAAAAATTCAAGAGAGCCCATGTCAACTTCTGACAGTTAATAAATTGTGCTGGAATGAAATATGTTAAATAAATTATGAAATGTTTAAAAATACAGCAGCTACTGCTTGTCACATATTACCACCAGCTAGGTATCCAGGTGTTGACAAGGATGTGGAGAAATTGGAACCCTTACACACTGATGGTAGGAATGTAAAGTGGTGCGGCCACTATAAGAAAATGTATGGCAGTTCCTCAAAAAATTTAAAATAGAATTACCATATGACACAGCAATTTCACTTTCAGGTGTATATCCAAAAGAATTTAAAGCAGGGACCTAAACAGATACTTGTACTCCAATATTTATGGCAGCATTATTCACAACAGCCAAAAGCTGCAAACAACCCAAACGTCCATCAACAGATAGATAAATAAATAAAATGTGGTCTATGCACACAGTGGAATATTATTCAGCCTTAAAGAGGAATGAAACTCTGATATATGCTACAACATAAATGAACCTTATAAATATGCTAATTGAAATAAGCCAGACCAAAATAACAAACAAATATTGTATGATTTCACTTGTACGAGGTACCTAAAATAAGCAAATTCATAAAGACAGGATAAAAGTTATCAGGGGTTGGAAAGTTATTGTTTAATAGGCACAGAGTTTCTGTTTGAAATGATGAGAAATTTTCTGAAATGGATACCTTTGATGATTATATAACCTTATGAATGCACTTAATGCTGCTGGATTGTACAATGCTATGTTTTAAGAGATGACAAAAAATGAATTGATCTAATTATTATATTCAGTGTTGTTGGTTTTTTGGGGTTTTTTTTTAGGATTTTGTTAAACATTTGATAACTTTAAACTCACCTTTTTCATAGACTCAAAAGTCACAGTTCTCAAACTTGGACTCATCCCAAACACCTGAATAAATATTGAGCAATCTAGTTACTCAATTTCAGGTACCAATTCAAATTTTAATTGCTAAATGAACGTTTTATGATTTTTTTAGGGGGAGGCACACACATATTTTGAAATAATAGCCTTTTTCAGAATTACCTTTCAGGTGCTGTTAAGTTTTCTTTGGTGAAGGTGTCTATGCCGGAGGGTGCATAATTCCAGATGATTTCCTCAGCAGCAATGTGGTAATGTCTAACATTTTCCCCATGGATGTCATCCTCTGTTGAAGGCTTGTGACAGTCTTGTACCTGGAAAAAGGCCTGCAACCCAGCTGAAAACCACACAGAAAGAGGTCTGTTAATAGAGCCAGTGTTTCTCCTGTTGCCTTGTAAACACTGCTGGTGACATGACAGATGCAAACTGAAGAAATAGACAGCTAGAAACAATATTATAAACTAGAGCAAACAATTATAAATAAATTACTGATGGAAAATTCAAGCAGTTTTTTTTTTACACTTCTCTGTACAACATAGGGAATAGATATTAATCAGTAGTGTTTTGAAAAATATGGTACCAGTTTCTGTGGACTTCCACATAAGAGGTCTTTTCATGAGAAAAATGACACATTAATAGGTAAGCAAAGAAGAGAGTCTTTGCCATATTTTAAAAGGTAGGGGAGAGTAGAGGAGGAGGGACAGAGCAAGCCTCTATAGTTAATGTTCTCTCACACAAAATGGCTGTGCACCTGCTATACTAGGCCTTCTGTGACCAAGGTCATATTTGGTATGTGAGATTATGTTTGAAGGTCATAGTAACATATACAAAGATCCAGATTCAACCTCATTTTTTAAGGAGAACATTACAAACTGATATCTTTCAAAAACTAGGAATGTTTTATCACACTATGTGAAAGAGATGCAGAAAAGATTTATCGAGTTAAACCAAGGAATAGCTAGACTCAAAGAAAGAACAAAGTTGGTGATATTTGATAGAACCAAATAAAAAAAAGGCTAATTTTCAGCACAACATATGAATGTTATGGTGTTTACAATACTGTGTATTTTACAATGTTGAGACACTATATGCAGTACTATACTCTTAAGGCCAATTATTCTATTTCAAAATTAATATATTTTCAGATTTCATCACTTTACAATTGTTTCAGTCTTTCACTATTTTTTATTACATTATGATGCATATCATCATAGGAATAAAGTTGTTACCAGTTCAAAGCTTGTATCATTCCAAAAGTAGATTTTGATTCCCAATAATCACCCCATTTGTAGTGTAACTGAGACATGACTCTTTTTTTTTTTTTTTAGCTGATGGCTAATTTCAGGTAGTGATGACCTACCTTTCAGATGGTTTAGATTCTGACAGCTAAGCATCCATTCTCCAGGGTTCTGGGCCACCATAAAAGCATCAGAAAGGGTAGCAGGAAAGAGATTGATTGTATCAACACGGTAGTTCTTGTCAGTCAATGTCTGGCCATGGAAGAAAGCTGCATGCACATCAACTTCATTACCCATACCAAAAAGATACCATTTTACTCTGTCCTCGGCACACATGGAGAGTCCTGGGAGACTTCCAAAAGCATATCCATTCACAGCTGTTAAGTCAAGAGTAGACATTGTGACTAAAAGATGTTGGTGCCTGGCTGAGTGAGAGCTATCTCTACAGAAATCAGGTCAATTTACGATGAAAAATATCTGGTATATACACTGCTATTCCTCTGTCTTTCATACCCACATCATATACAGAGGGTGCCAAAAAACATATATATTATATATATATATATATTTTTTTTTTTTAAGAAAGGAAAAAACTATTAAAATTGTAATACTCAATATACACTAACAAAAGATGAATACAAGTCACATTTGACTTCTGCAATTACAAGAGGTGCTCAAAGTGGTTACCATCAGTGTGCAGACACTTCTGATTACGGCAAACTACTGCTTGAGCAATGCTGACTAAAGTGTCCACTTGTATACATTTTTTTGGCACCCCCAGTATTACTAATCATTCACAACACTCTTTAAATATGGACCTGAATTCAGCCTCAGGATTCTTGTCAACACATTAGCGATGAGCACAGCACTGAAGATGAAACCTATTTGCTCTTTTTGTTATAAACCATATACATTGGTTTATACATGTGTGTATTTGTAAATACAAATGTGTGCATATATGCAAAATATATACACCTATAGTGAACAGAAAAAGACTGATGGTTTAGTAATTTAGTAATTGATCATTCATTATATTGATGGTGGTAGTATGGGTGATTTCAATATTTTCTTTGTGCTTATCAGAACTTTTCCAACTTTCTGCAGTGAATATGGATTGCTTTTGTAATAAGGACACAAGGAAAGCTTTTTTAAAAAAGATTGGAACACAAAACTAGAAGAGATATGAAGGAGAAAAAAAATGCAGGGGAAGGATAGTAGGGACCAGAGACGAGAGCCACAAAGACCTAAGTTCAAAAGCAAATGGCCTGAGGGCCGGCTGAGTGGCACGATGGTTAAGAGCTGGCTTGGGACTCCTCAGGGCCCCGGTTCGGATCCCACATATGAGGGCCAGTGACACTGCCCTCCACAG